CGGCGAGGCGGCCGACGGCGAGGCGGTCGACGGCGAGGCTGCCGACGGCGAGATGCTGACGGCGAGGCGGCCGGCGGCGAGGCTGCCGACGATGAGGCGGCCGACGGCAAAGCGGCCGACGGCGAGGCGGCCGACGGCGACGCGGCCGACCGCGAGGCGGCCGACGATGAGGCGGCCGAGGGCGAGGCGGCTGACGGCGAGGCGGCTGACGATGAGGCGGCCGACGATGAGGCGGCCGACGGCAAAGCGGCCGACGGCGAGGCTGCCGACGGCGAGGCGGCCGACGGCAAAGCGGCCGACGGCGAGGCGGCCGACGGCGAGGCGGCCGGCGGCGAGGCGGCCGACGGCGAGGCTGCCGACGGCGAGGCGGCCGACGGCGAGGCTGCCGACGGCGAGATGCTGACGGCGAGGCGGCCGGCGGCGAGGCTGCCGACGGCGAGATGCCGACGGCGAGGCGGCGGACGGCGAGGCGGCCGACGGCGAGGCGGCCGACGGCGAGGCGGCCGACGGCGAGGCGGCCGACGGCGAGACGCTGACGTAAGTCCTCGCCCAGGCTCGCTCAGACCGGCGGGGGGATCGGGCGGGAGGTGGGCGGGGAAATACACACACACACACGCTGTTATTCAGCTAGCAGGGGACGCAAGGAGCACAGACTTTGCACGGCAAAACAACATGAGCAGCTGCGCACAAAATGCAGAAACATACTAATAAGCACACAGGCGGATCGCGGGAAGTTTCAAATTCTCCATCACAATTAAAACAGTAGCATCCCCACACATACCCCCCCCACACACACACGCACACACGCACGCACACACACGCACACACACACGCACACACACACACGCACACACACACGCACACAATGATCCCGCTGGGGACGACACGCCGACGTCGGAAGCATCACGTAACGATAATACATTATACAAAACTTTACTTAAATGTATATTGCGTATAAACAACAAAATTGTACAGTACATCTACTTGACGTACTATTTATTTTTAATGCTTTAAGGAAATAATCATGAGTAAAATATTATTAATTTATTCAGGATGCAATATAAATTATGCAGCATATAATCTTACAAATTGACACTTACAAAATAGTTACATTGTCATGCAGCACAATACACCACACCACGGCACACGTGCTGCTAAAAGCCGGTAAGCTGGTCTCGTTTGCTGTCTTTCCTAGATGTTAGCTGATCTGCTGTTTTGCCTATCAGCTGCTGATCTGCTGCCCGGCCATGATCTGCTTTATGATGCAAACAAAATAAGACTGCACAAGCACGTCGCATGCGGCACAACAACAAAAACCCACAACAGACAGTGCTTTACAACCAACTAACAAACAAGACGTGACGCACTGCAAAATTGTACAATGACGTACATAGGGCAACGTCAACAAGGAAATGCACAGCACAGACAAGGGATGCGTTTAACTAGCGCGTGACTCACCGGAGGTACGACAAACCGTGACGCGGAAACGCCGAAAGCTTACGGCAAAGCGACCGACGGCGAGGCGGCCGACGGCGAGGCGGCCGACGGCGAGATGGCCGACGGCGAGGCGGCCGACGGCGAGGCGGCCGACGGCCAGGCGGCCGACGGCGAGGCGGCCGACGGCGAGGCGGCCGACGGCGAGGCGGCCGACGGCGAGGCGGCCGACGGCGAGGCGGCCGACGGCGAGGCGGCCGACGGCCAGGCGGCCGACGGCCAGGCGGCCGACGGCGAGGCGGTCGACGG